TTGTCAAACAGCGGCTCTAAAACATAAAGTTCAGTCAATCAGTAGGACACAATAAATGTACCTCTCACTGAAAAACGGTCGCATAATTTTTGACAAGACCAGGTAAACTTGTTGGCATATGATTAGCTTGTAAGTGATGAATCCATTAGTTGGGCACAGTAAGTAGGCTGTCCGGGAAACGAAGATAGAAGTATCCCAACAGTTACAAACTACTAAGTAAGAACAAAGACGTCAGCAGGTCAAAATGCACGTGCTAGTTCTTTGTCTGATTCAAAGTTGTGCTAAGTTATTTAACAAAAGTAGTATAACTCATTAAAACAAAACGAACTTAAATGTCACTACAAGCTTAAGAAAACGGCGTTATCAGCTGGAGCTGCCCTCAAAGCCGTGAGCTTTAGTTTGTCATACACCCTGTTTATAATGCTATGACATATTACGCCAGGTTTAAAGGGAAATCCCGACTCAGTACCTCGCTTTGGAGAAAATTCGGTATTTGAAGGCATGACATCAGCCGTTAGCATAAAACCACGCCTATCAGCAGAGTTCCGAGAGGTTTTTTGCCAACTTTACTTGAAAATTTGCCTCTTTTAATGTGCAGTCGTATCGTTTATGGATTAATAATTTTACATCAGTCTACCCGTAATAGGATGGCAGTCCAGTAAGTATTATTCTGATTAGGACTATAATTTTTTACTTGTTCAAGGCGTGTCAGGAGGGTAATGCTACCATCTATTGGACATTTCGATTTGAATTGCGGGCAAAATCAGAGATATGAAGAATTCCAGCGACGGTGCTTACTTCCGAGGTTTACAATACACTCGATTAAATACGAAATTTAACGATGATCTGCCGATATACGTTGCTTTTTATTAAAGTATTTTGCCTGGAAACGCCAAAGAAGCACAGGAGTTTTTGCAAGAAATCACAATCCCACAAAACTGCCTTAACTGCATCAAACAAAATAATTGATAAAAATTGTGCTGACTAAGCTGTGAAAAATAAATGAACCTTTTGAAAGTGATACTGCGTTCTGTGTGTGGCCCAGGGGACAGGCCGTTTAGCTTTACCATCTATTGCGTCCGAGCCAACCTCCAGTCGGCAGGGCACTGTTTTGCTCTCGGAGACTGGAGGGCAATGGGGAAGTGAATGCGGTAGATACAGCGCAAGTCAGCCCATTATAAATTAATTCCCGCGCAAGTCACAAGTGCTGCGGTCACTGCGTGGGACAGACTATGGGCGTCGCCGTTCACATTAGTTGAAGTATCATCCCCTCGAGGGGCAAAACCTTTTGGAAGACAACAATAGTTTCGAAAATAGTGAAATTCAGAGCAAAAAAAAATGACCAGAATCTCAAAAGATACACCATGCCTCATCAGGCAACAAGTGCATAAAATTGATTATTCAAAAACTTATTACACCTAACTGACACATTGAAAGAATCAGTACAGTTGGTACAATGTTGATAAGTCATCTGTTTTTATGCTGAAAGAGGGTTCAAAAATTATGCACAGACGCATGTACAAATGATGGTGCACTTTGTCCAAAATGACCTACGTCTGACCTGAATGAAGATGTGTTTTGCCAAGACAAACGTCTCCTTAAGGTTACATGCGGAATGAAGGATTAGTAGGGGAATGCCTCATAAGCTTGTAAAGTCAAATACTTATAATGCCGTACATTTGAACGGTATTCTTTCGAAAAGCAATTTTTTGATTCCATCGATGATGAAGACGCTTGAGTCTTAAAGCGTAGTTGAAACCCCAGCTAAAAGTCGACCTCTTTTGACGCCAATTCCCAATTATCTTTAATTGATTAAATTATAGGCCTTCAAGAAAATTAAAACATCTCGCATACGTCTACGATACTACTCTTTTCGCGCTAACCAGAAATAAATCACACAAATATCAGCATGTTACATTATAAGACAATAGTTTTTGAAGACACACTCGGACGTATCATAGTCAATGTTTCTACAAGTCCAGACAGGATGAATTGCACATAGTTTACAATTGTCGACTCAACTTACTATTGGATGTTTGAGCATAAATATACAGTGACCAATTACAAGTAAAACTTAAGGAATTACAGTCGTCTTAAACAAGTCTTTTTATTAAAATGGACATGCGCATACTGAAATATCGAGTTTTTGACTCTCACAGGTTCTATTTGTACTTCTTGGCCCCTGGACATTTGTGGTTTTAAAAAAGTGCAAGTGAATAGAGGATGTTGTATAGTGAAATGGATCGAAATTCGGAAGAAAACGAAAATCGTATTTTGCCTGAAATAATGACTGTTGGTCAATGCGTTAGAGCAGTGAGGGACATGCGAGAAATCTGATGAGCGATCGTCTTGCCATGTTTTCCTTACTTCATCATCTATTATGGTCGGTGTGAAACAGTAGTCAGCATCTTGTAACAGAAAGGCCTGCCGGCGTTTTTCAAGCCTCCGTTATTTCGCCGGTCTCTTGCAGTTTCCGAGACAACTATTCAGTCTATACCGTAAATCGTTATTTCGACTGGAAGTACATTTGGATACCGGTCACCGGGCAGGCATGTATCGTTGGAACTCTAACTGTCCCTCGTAATATGAAAATATCATGATAGGTTGTTTTGTTTGTTGTTTATTTAAAATTATTATTCTATTAAAACACAGCTTTGGCTTATAAAAAGTCAGAAAACACGGCATAACTCATATAGCAAGTGGTTTAAGTGTAAACGTATCTGAATGGGATATGTTAGTTAAGACCTCGGCAAATTCCACAAACAACCGATAGTCCTGTTTATGTGTTTTGATATACACTATTTAAATTAATCATAAGTACGAACAGGCCCTACTTACCACGAGTAACATTTCTGGTTTTCCTCGGACTATTTTTTACGATATTTATCAAGTTAAAACATCGATCACTAGAGTGTGAGGACAAACTGTTCTATGAAATATGAAATTAGCACCTTTAGGCGCAAAATTGTTTTAACTTTACCTTGTGTCAAGAGATGTTGGCTGAAATTCTGAAATGTGTTTTCGATTAGAAAGGATTACTTAGACGCGATTGTAATACTGATTATCCTGCGACAAATCATGTAATATTTCGGAATTGGCGGGATATCGGCTTTTGAATGCACTGCTATTCAATCTCCTCTAGAAACCATGCTCGTTTAAAAATGACTACTTATGTAGTAGGCATTTTTCACATTGATTTTTGATGGTCTTGCAGATTCAACTATATTTTTTAGGAACCTCAAACAAAAATATGCTTTCTTTTAGTCGTTGGACAGAGAATCTTGTCATCTTTATAGTTTATACCCGAACAGTGGGTATAATTAGGATTTTTAACAAGTGTCTCATCATGAGATTTTTTAAGACTGCGCAATGTCCATTCATATAACATCGTACTTGTCCGTTTACCACTGCTCCTCGCGAATTGTACAACATAGTCCGCATCCGCTGCAAATCTTATTAACTCTATATGGTATCTTCTTAAAGGCATAGAAAAATACGTGATTTTCTTTATGCGGAACGCATGCACTTTGTAAACTGAAACCACCAAGAACTAATGCAACGGCTCCAAATCATTCGGCAACTAGAACACTTTTTAAACCGCATTATATCCACTATTCTAGTATAAACTATAAAGATGACATGATTCTCTGTCAAATGACTGAAAGAACGCATATTTCTGTGCGTGATTTCTGAAAAATATGCTTGAATTCGCAAGATCATCAAAAATCAATGTGACAAATGCATGCTACATAAGTAGTCATTTTTACCGAGCATTGTTTCTACAGGAAATTGTAAAGCAGTGTTATCAAAAGCTGACATCCTGCCAATTCCGAAATATCATATGCTTTGTCGCAGGATACTTAGTATTACAATCGCGCCTAAGTAATCCTTCCTAATCGAAAACGCATTTCAGAATTTGAGCCAACATTTCATGAGATCAGTCACTCATTAGTTAACTGAACAAAGCATTGATTAGGCATCCATCTAATCCTCCTAGAATAGGAAGGCGTTATATCTCGCGCACTTAACATTGGATGCAAGAATGCAGTACAAAATTGCCTGTTTTGCAAAACGAAACTGAAGTTTGAAGTTTTAACATCAAACGTACGCCTTCTTAACTGCCAGGATTTGGTTTTATGTCGCAAAGACTCGAGTATCTGCGAGGGGTGTTCGACGTTTGGAGTTTGCAACAACACCAGACAATTCCACCATCATCACGAGGACGTTTAAGGGACTCGACTAATGAATTGCGAGACATATTTATGTCTATTGGCACTCTACGCTTGGTGACGGTTCAGACCCTGCGATCAAACCACACTCCGCCTTGAGGTCCATTAAAGCGGGAAAATTGAAATTCCTGTAAATAATGAGAATTAAATGGAAAGAAATGACGTCATTAAGAAAATATGTCCGATATTATTTAAAAATATCGATCGGTTTTTAGCATGCATTCAGTATGAAACATGTCGACCCTCTATCAAAATATATCTTGCAGATTTTTAAATATAGTTGACCAAACAAAGTACGGCCACGTTTTCGTATTTTCCTCTCGGCATGTGGTTTATTTTGCCACAAACCTTTTATGTCTGGATGAACTTTGCGCATACACGATTAGGTTTGGCGTTCGGATTTGAGACAAGTGAAACGCAACAACGCCTTGCGCCAATTGTAGAAAGGAAAGTGGCTCAAAATACGATTTTTGCCGAAAGTGCGCAGAAAGTAAAGTCTGAGCAACTGGCTGCCAGATGTGAGAAGGCGCCATTAGTAAAATGTTCAAACTCGGCTCTTATCATAAGATTACAACATCGGACCCAGAATGATTGTAAGTCGTAAAGTCAAGCCCGAGACTATGAAGTCATTAGTGCAACAATTCTCGTGCAAGACGTCCACAGCAAACACTCACCTGATAGTACGTCCGAAGATTATAAATTGGCTTACGTCGTCCTACATTATGCCATCCGACACATCAAAGGATTCCACCTTACTTGGTTCCTCGGTATATGCAAACGTGGAAGGGCACACCGATGGGTTCGCCGATTTCGAAATTCATCGCCGAGGCGGTCCTGCAACGGTTAGAGTCGCTGGTCTTCCAACACCACAGACCGAAGTTCTGGGCCCGGTATGTGAATGACACCTCCGTCGTCATCGAACGGGATCAGATCCTGACATTCAAAGAACGTCTCAACGCCGTCTTCCCCGACATTCGATTTAAGATGGAGGAGGAAGAGAACAACCAGCTGGCCTTCCTGTATGTCCTCGTATGCCGCAAAGATTGTGGTGGACTAAACACCAAAGTGTTCAGGAAAGCGACAAATACGATGCAAGTACCGAACTTCAACAACAACCACCCAATCAGCCACAAATGCAGTTGTGTAAGGACGCTCTATCGGCGGGTCGAAACGCACTGCAGTGGGCCGGAAGACAAGATTGCCGAACTACAATACCTCCGACGGGTCTTCAAAGCCAATGGCTACCCGCGCAACTTTGTCAACCGGTGCATACGCAATAGGGACTAAAGGCCTACCCGCAAGGACACCAAATCTTAGCGGACGCTTCCGTATATCAAGAACGTTTCGGAAGCTGTCGGCCGCCATCTCGCACCACTTGGCATTGGAGTTGCATACAGACCGGAGGCAACCATCAGGCGTCTGGTAATGAAACAAAAAGACCCACTGCCACGGCTAGAAACGTCTGGAGAGGTTTATCGGATATGGTGCAGTTGCGCACAAAGCGACTACGTCGGAGAAACCGGAAGACAGCTCCGAACTAGAATGGCCGAACAAGCTGCAGCGGTGCGCAGAAACGACGCCAGCTCTCAAGTTGCGGCTAATTCGACGAGATCCGGCCACACATTTAAATCCGACGAGGCTGAAATTCTCGCAAGAGGTGACAACCGCGTGAGCCGGGAGCTACTTGAATCATGGTTTACTGGCCCCCAGTCAATAAAAAAGTGCAATGAACTTCCCCTTCCATACTCTGTACTGAAATTTCGCCTAGGCGGAGTTATTAGCCTCGCGGGGAGCGCATATGTGAACACTTGTCCCAACACCAGGGTCGGTGCGTCAGATGGTCGAGCAATCATTACACCAACATCCAACGCACGTGATTAAATGGCAGCAGTTAACGACTCGAATGTCGGCCATCAAACAATTAGCACACCAAGTGCAACGATCCCGGATGAAGGGGAAGCCGTAAATGTGGTACCATGGCGACTGCATCCTATAAATACTGCAGCCCTTGGTGCATGAATCACCCGTATCTGCTGTTGTCTCTGATGATGGATTCGAGCAGGAATCCAAAATGTCTGGTTGATAAAGCTCTTGTCCCAGCGATCGTGTCTCCTTCTTCAAAACGTGGAAGTTTTTGACAAGTGCGACAATAATTTATTAGGGTCCTCTTAAAAAACTTCAAGAATCAGTAAATACGTTCTCAGATTTCGCAGAGAAAAGCGACATTCTTGTTTCACTGGTGCTAAACAATGTTTTTAGAGAGTGCAAGACGCAATCCTCGCAGTCCTTAAGTATGATCCACCATTCATATATTGGTATTACGGGTCCAAAAGACTGAAATGTCACCTTACATTTGTATGAGATAACTGTAGGTTTAGTTATTTTTTACATATCGCTACCGACTGTTCTGGAAAAGGAATAATTAATTATGAGCACCTACATGCAAATAAGCAGTCTTTTGGAATATTTTAGATCCGGTACAGGCATATGGATAACCTCAGTGCCGCAGATAGCCTCGCGCTGAAATCCGGAGCGATTCTTATTTTAATGTCTTAACCTTAATCCAAAACCCAACTCTGACATTAAATCTCATAAAACTAACCTTATCTTAACTGTACTTACCCCAACGCTGACTCCAACCCAAATCTAGTTCCCCCAACATTTGCGATGGGACCACCTGTAAAGCTAAAAGTTCGTATTCCCGCGCACAACCATTTTTAAATCATAAAGGGCATGTACCGACAAGCCAACGCGAGGATACTGAACCATTTGTTTTACCATTTATTCAAATATTTAGAAATATCACATTGGACTGGAAAATCGAATTTCGGACAACCTAACTTGCAGTAGGCTGCGACTTGAGATGTACCAGTTGTTCAAGTCTCTTGCATGACCAAGCCAATGAAGAGCAGAATAAACAAAAGTCACTTACACTTTTTGGCATCTGCGACTTTCTTTACGTTGTTGGTCCTCAAAAAGTTGCACTAAATTGCTTTTTGGGAAACAGATAATTAATATCATTGCTTCAACGATGTTGTGGGACTCCTAATTTTGCGTGTTTGCGTTGGGTTGGGTTATAGATTATTTAAGTCTATTTTGCACAGAAAGTTCGGCAGGTGTTTTTTCAAGTTACCGATTTGTTTGATTTTAGACGGATTGATTTTGCAACTCCGAACGTTGCTGCTGCCTGATTGGTGAGTGGCGAGACAGCATGGTCTGTCATCACATCAGTAGAGAGCGTTATGTGGTAGCTGAAGTTATTCAGACAAATAATGGATAGTCAGGTCATCTGCAATCGATCAACTTAAAGACATCCTGCCGATCATATTGTGTTCTTCCTTGTGCATTTACCTTCGCCTACCAACACATTCAAATCAGTTAACTCAACTTCCTATCCAAATAAAAACTAAGTGATTAAGACATATTTAAGTATTCATATTCTCTTTCATTATACTTCTTAATTCTGAGAGATTCACCTGCAAACGAGGACAAAACTGCGCAATAAATGTGCCAAAAAAGTAATCCCCTGACAGATCGCGGACGAAAGGAAAACTTTTCGCGGCTGATATCATTTAAAGTCTACAAGAAGTCTAATTTATTGCTCTTCCTTGGCCAGCTGCAAGTCCTGTTCTGACAGCGTTTCTGCTTACTGAATATTATTACTGACACGCTGAAAATCAAAGGAGAAGACAAATAACGGGTTTTTCCAATGGCCGTTGGGTGGGTTGAAGGATTCGGGTTCTATCTGGAGTCCGACGGTCTTTTTTGGCATCCGGTCGTTTATTCGCTCTAGTTTAGGCTCATCTACCCCATGAACAACGCGCTTTCACGTGTTCAGTTCATCTTAGGGTGTCATCGAGGGTGTGTCTTTCAAGCCTTCTGACGCCAACAGCGCCGACGCAGCACGCTCGCCGCGTAATAAATCGTGCGCATAAACACACGGGCGCATAGCCCACCAAAACGAAATACCTCATCTGATTGGCTGTGCCCTAGTGGCACATTTAAAAGTGTTCAGCCTAGATTTGCACGGATGTCCTCTAAGCCCAGTCAGAGGCGAAGAAAGCCCACAAACTGCACAAAAACCAACCATTCAAATACAGTGAGACAGATGTCACCAGCAAGCCATCAAGCCACCTTCAACGCGTGAATATCCAAAGGGCAAATTTGAAGGCGGAAAATATAACCAACCAGGAAATAAAATCACAGTGAAGCATGTCCCACTTCCGAAACATTGAAAAATTCGTGACATTCTCTTCACATCAGTCGCCCGGTGGCTCCTCGATTTCTTCAGTCGCCTCACTCGAGTAAGTGTACTGTCTACGGACTGGCGTGATATATTAATTTTTTACTTATATCCGTAGCGTAAGCTGCTCTGAAAAATGATCATGTAGCGGCGAAAAATCCCAAATGTTTCCTTGTAGATCCATATGGTTAAAAGGAACTTGGATGCAATTATTTCAAATTGATGGGTGTGGAAAACTGTTCCTTTTTTCGAGACCCAGAAGAATGAAGGTCTTTAAATTTCTAGGCAGTTTGTAATAGGGTCGAACTAAAATTAATTCCATTCAAAAACACTGGGACGAGTAGGGGCTTCAGCTCTCTGATTTAAATTAAACTTGAACAGTTTTTGTGTCTAATTCCAATCTTTAATGGTTGGTTCGCATATGGCGGTGTTTTTGATTCCTGTCAACTCTCTTGTTATATTAAGTCACAGCTTCTTTAATTCCCCCAAAATGATAAACTGTTTATGTCAATACGATACAACCAAGCGTTTTCTTGGTTCGTTTGAGTAGAAAAGGAAAGAAATAGTCGTAAAATCTGAACAGTCATTTACTGCCTTCCAGTATATATACCTTCTGCGCTTACATATCCGCTAAGTGCTATTTTAAAACATTTGTTAAAAACTACAAGCGCATTAGGTACATTGCTTAGTCCTGAGACAGTTTTCATGAAAATCACTCACCTATAAAGCAGCCATTGTTGTGTACCTGCTAAAGTAAACAGACATTCTCGCATTTGGGTCAAGTTACCCACCCAACTTACTGCCACGTCTGCAATCCACCAAATCAGATACAATGAACTGACTGCCCAAACAGGAGTTCCTAAGTAATCCACCTGCAATCCATCAGGTGACTGTCATGCTCGACTAATAGGTGTTTTGGCAGATTCTGACCCAAATCAGAAATATTCGACATCTACTTAGACATCTACAAACACTGAAGATTGTTTCTAAGCGCTGTTTTTCTTATTCTGTCTAAAAAACTGGATAAATATGCATGGGCAAGAGAATAGTCAAATTCTTTTTTCAGGACTCACTAGTTATTTGTGCACCAAATAGGGCGAGTTAGATAAAAAAATTAATGACGTATTTATTTAACCTTAGCGCTAGCTTGTCTGCTGTGGCTGACGGATCAAAATGAATAAGCGCATAAAATATTCGGTTAGAAAAGTAGCCTTTTATGTTAGGTTTTAAACCACAGTGTTCTGCATATTTTGCTTTTGCGGCTACTAGCAATTTCAGATGTCATTTAGCCACCACCGATCCTCTTGACTCTCACCAACCACCGGTACCAAGAGAAGGAAGTGTGCTCTGTGCGACGCAAGTCACTGCCATGCGCTCGTTTCGCTGTGGGACGCATGGGAGCATCACCACATACGACGAACGAACTGCCAGCAAAAAGTGTTCCGCAAGTTAAGAGCGCAAATGATCCTTTCAAAAAACAGCGTTACCAGTAGGATATGTCTCGTTACTATTCTAAATAAAGAGAAAGGGCAATGGTTTGACAAATAGTGCTGATTCCCTCTGCCGATTATTACCCCCACACCGACGAATAGCACTAAATGTCGCTATGGGATCCGAAACAACGTGCGTGTTTGAAGTACAAGGAGCAGAAGCCTAGATGATTAGCGCTTCTTGCCCCTGTTCCGCTCACACGTTCTCGCAAAGGTCAAGAAATAATTAAATTTATGTCGGCAGTCAGGGATAAAATAAACATGTTTATTCCACAGCTGCTCAGCTGCCCATTCCTCTATCCCTATGTCTACACATTCATTCCGAATTTTGGGCTGATAATGTATACATTTTGATCTATCATATAACTTTAAGCGAGCTCAGGGCTCTTCTTCCACAAGGGCTCGCAAAATCATTTCAGACTACACGTTATACCCTTCTTGTCAAGAGTCTCAGAAGGCGGAGTATCTGATTGGCATCTTCAAGGTTGGCTTCTGAACACAAGATTGGCTAAATTAAGTGGGGGTTCAGCGCATCA